CCGCTCCCGGAGCCGTGCTCACGTGATCCGTGCCGGTGTGGCGGGCGCGGTGGCCGCGGTGGCCCCGGCGGGAATGTCCCGCAAACAGGGGGCCAAGGCCCGGCCCGCCCCTGGCGCCAGGAAAGGCCGGCGGCCCCGGCATACCCCCGCCGGACCGGCGCCGGGCCCCGCTCCGGGAAACACCGGCGGCCTCGCCGGGCAGCTCCGGGCCCTCGGCCTCAAGCTGCGGGAGGTGCCGGGAGATGGGTGAGCGCCACGACGGGTGTCCCCAGCAACCCCGGGGCCGGCGATTCCCTGGACATCCAGCCCTGAGGGCTGGGGGCTTCCTCTTCCCTGGATGATGGGAGCCCGTGTCCCTGGGCCCGAGTGCTTTCATCGCTCCGGGAGTGGGCAGCCCCTGTCCCGGAGCCGAGAATTTTCCTTTCCTGGATGAGTGGGCCCAGTGCTCCGCAGGGGTGAAGATTTCCCTGCTGTACCCCTCAGGGATCTCTGCTCTGCGGTTCTGTAGGGCCTGATGGCTGTGCCAGTCCCAGCCCTGATGCCCAGGGAGCTGAGTGTTCCACTATGCAGCTGAACAGATCATAGGAAAATCCATAAATGTTCTTGTGGAACACTGTCACCCCTTTCTTTTCCATAAGGTGAAAGGGCAGTAGACGTTTCTGCTGAGCAGTTGCTCAGCGGGTCATTGTTTTGTCCTTTGTTGCTTTGTGTCATCTGTCTGGTGTCAGCGTAAGCCAGCTTGGCCCAACAGTTCTGCCATGACTTCATCACTCCAACCCATCTGTTTGAAGCACAGGGAATGAGGGCTCCTTTGCATTCWCATTCTTGCTAAACTGGGCMGAACGAGCCCAGCCCTTTCCCTTCGACCCCATATCCCTTCTAATGCCTCAGACACACCCACTCATCATTTCTCTCTCGGCAGCAACTGCTTGTTCCGGGCCCTGGGGGACCAGCTGGAGGGGCACTCCCGGAACCACCTGCGGCACCGCCAGGAGACCGTGGACTACATGGTGAGACAACGGGAGGACTTYGAGCCCTTCGTGGAGGATGATGTGCCCTTTGACAAACACGGTATGGGCTCTGTGGGACATCCTGGGAGGGCTCAATGTGTCATGGGGTTGCATCTCCTTAGAGCAGCTCCTCACTCACCAGTTCCTCATTCCAGAGTTACCTTGGGGATCCTCTCTAGGTCTTAGAAGCAATTTATAGAAGTGTCACATTTGCTCCTGTTGTGATGCTGTGGAAAGGTGAGCTGTTAAATCCGCATTGAATTTGTCCTGGAAGTTKTTTAAATTTAGGAGAAACTTGGAGAAGAAAAGAGACACAATAAAGGCAAGGAGTGAAAATTAGGTGTTTTCAAAAGGAACTTAAGGAAAATTGTCTAGTTCAGTTGTCCTTTAATACTGGTGGGTATTTGGCTGTTTTGGTGAGTGCCTGATTTCTCTGGGTTTCTTTCTCCTTGGCACTTACTATTTCTTACTGGGAACCCAGGGGAAGATCCAAAGCAGAGGTAAATACAGGCTTGGGTATGCCATGTGCAGATAATGAATGAAAGTGGTTTGGTCACTTAGCATGTGGCACTCCTGAGCTAACAGAGCCAGTAACCTTGCTTACTGTAGGGGTGCCATGCCCTTTTTTTTAGATTTCTGTGTTCATTTAGATGCTTTAACTTCTGTTGCTGCCAAATTCTTGCCTCAGCACTCACTGTTTCACATGCGGGAATTCCCTTCCAGAATTTGTAGGGCTCGTGTTGAAATCTCACCCCTTGGTATCCCTCCAGTGCTTTTGGAGGTGTCAGATATCAGGTTTCAACTCTTGTGAATGTTTTTTTCCTTTAGTTGCCAATTTGGCCAAGCCTGGTACTTTTGCTGGCAATGATGCTATCGTGGCCTTTGCAAGGAACAATCAAATTAATGTGGTTATTCATCAACTCAACGCTCCACTGTGGCAGGTGAGAAACAAAGCTTCTATGTTTTGGCCTAATTTTTACCTGATGGGTACAAATAGTGTGGAAAATTCCTGATTTATTGAAAAAAAAAGCAATATCTGCAGTGAGCAGGGCATGGTGCAGAGCTGTGCTTGGTTTTTGAAGAGGGGGAACACTCCAGAGTTTGGCTAGGAGGARAGGGAATGAAAGCAAGCAGTGAATGCATGGAAGATGGGTGTGTAGGGACAGAGCAGCATGTTTTAGTTGGGTTTTAAGCTATGAGTTTCAGTGCCATCTCAGTCTCCTGAAGATCAGAGAGCTCACTGACCATGGRACCCCCARGTCCTTCCCCMCAGAGCTGCTCCAGCAGCTCAYCCCCAGCCTGTGCTGGTTGTTCCTCCCCAGGAGCAGGACCTGCATTTGCCCTTGTTGAACTTCAGACAGTTCTTCYCTGCCCATCTCTCCAACCTGGAGAGTCCTTCTGAAGGGCTGAATCTCCTGGATTCCCCTGGAATTGGAGCCAGGCTCAAGGAAAGCTGTACAATAAGGTTCAGGGAGATGGAAATAAAGGTACAGCAGGGCATGCAGTGTGGTGGAGTGAAGCTCCATCAGTTCTGCATGGGATGTGGAATGCCAGAGTTTCTGACAGATGGAGAAAYGAGGTTTTAAAAGGAGTTTTAAAACCTTGAAATGGTGTTTAATCAGCTTCTGGAAAGGACTGTGTGCTATGGTTTCCTCTGACAGAAGGGCACTGAAACAAGTAATAATCAGGTCCCTGGTTTTTTCTTTTCTGTTGTTTTTCCATGGCAAGGGCACACTGGAATGGGTCCATGCTCASTCTGTCTGGTCATTGAGCAAGTGAGAACCTGTATTCAGGTCAGGATTGTTTCTGGCCCCTGTTTACACACAAAACCAATGAAGTATGTAGCTTAAACAGGGCAATAAAGATAAAAACCAGATGAAAGCTGTCAGTGAYGTCTTAAATACGTTTAAAACAGCATCAAGTGGATTCCTGAACTCAAACAAGTTTGAACTCTTGATTTACAGGCAGCCATGGGCAGTGGGACAGGTGGGTGAAGTACATGTGCAGAGGCAGTGACCCTGCAGGGGAAGTCACAGGGGTGGTTTTCATATGTTGTTCCTCAGTGTTATAATTTACTGAGCTTTTGATGTTCTTTTAAAAACCTTGGTTCTTTAACTCCTTTCATTGACAACATTAGGGTGTCAATACAGAGTTTTTGATAAGGTTCTGTCTTGCCTGAGCAAAGTGTGGTTAGTGAAGGGTTGGCTCAGGCCCTGTGAGTAAAGAGAACTGGGAGTAACTGTAACCTCATGAAAAGCTCTTTGCAGGTGGACATCTCTACATGGAATTTTTAAGACTCTGAACACCCTTATTTTTTGATAGTGACTGTAAATCATAGAATTKTTAAGGTTGGAAAAGAYCTTCYRGGTCATGGAGCTGYAGACACAAGTTAGCTGAGATATGCAGGTTATTTTTCTGGCTTTTTGGATAACAAGTTGGCTTTTTTTCTTCTGTTTTTAATCTGGAGCTCTTATTCGCCAGTTTCAGTGTATTCATAGAACCAGAGAATCCCAGATGGTTTGGAAGGACCTTAAAGCTCATCCAGTACCATACCCTGCCATGGCAGGGACACCTTCCACTGTCCCAGGGTGCTCCAAGCCCCATCCAGCCTGGCCTTGAACACTTTCAGGGATCCAGGGGCAGCCACAGCTTCTCTGGGCACCCTGTGCCAGGGCCTCCCCACCCTCTCAGGGAACAATTCCTTCCCAATATCCTATCCATCCCTGCCCTCTGTCATTGGGAAGCCATTTCCCCTTGTCCTGTTACTCCAGGACCTTGTCCATCTCTCTCTCCATAGTTCCTGTCAGCTCTTTCAGGCACTGGAAGGTCACAATTAGGTTATCCTGGAGCCTTCTTTTCTCCAAACTGAACAATCCCAGTTCTCCCAGCCTTTCCTCATAGGAAAGCTGCTCCATCCCTGTAAATCAATGCAGTTGCTTCCTCTGGCCCACTCCAGAGTGGAAAGAGGCTTCTCTAATGAGACCTAAGTTGGCTAATTTTCAGAACAATCTTTCAGGAGCTTTGGGCTTTTTTAGATGCTTATTGAAGCTCTAGCAGAGGAGAAATGTTTAAAATAAATCCTACCAAGTTTCCAGCATTTGAATAATTTAATAGGATAAAAAGCAGGAGTTAAGTATAACCAAGTGTTGAGTTGGAACCTAAAGGTGAGGAAGTGTAAAATAGATGGATAGAGAATTAGTTKTTGGAAAACCTGGAGTCATTAGTGCAGCCCAGAGCAAGGACATGGCTGAAGGGTGACTTGGTGTGTGGTCTGGGAGCTGAGATAAGGCAACTCACAGACGTAAAAGGGTTGGGAAACTCTGGAGCCCTAAAGCAAGGAGTTCTGGTCCTTTGCCTGCTGACGTCTGCTCCAGGAGAGCTGCTGAGTCTTTGAACTTGGGCTGGCAGGTCAGGCCAGGCTGGTCTGCAAGTGCACTGGGATTTTCTGCATTCCTGGCAGGAGCTGGAATGCTGTGTAGCTCTTATCTAATAGTTTGAGCCGGTGATAATTGGGGTAGGAACTATTCTCTCATCAGCATAGATGATACTCAGAGCAGGAATTTTCTGTGGAAACTGCTGTAACTTGGTGCTGACAAAGCAAAGGAGCATTTGGTTGTGAATGGTGCTCCTGAATGGAGTTAATATATTTAATTGAATGGAGTTAATACATTTTCATGGATTGGCTTTCTTTTAAAAACAAAACACAGCCACTTGGAATGCTGTTAAAACAGCATCTGTCCCAGCTGCAGATCAAAACTTACCCTGAGTGACTGTTTGCACTGTTCCTGTCACTTGAATGGCCTCTCTCCCCTCATATTTGAGGGTAAAATGACTTGGTACATTCCCTGGGAGCTATTGCTGAAGTTGGAACTGGGAAGATGATCAGAAAACTGATAGCTCCTGTGGAAAGTTCAGGAAATAGTTCTGAGCTTTCCACAAAAATATTTCCATCCCACATTTTGTTTGTTCTGATGTAACTGCGCAGTGTTTTACATCTGGCTTCCAAACCTCCTAATTCTCTTCCTGTTTAAAGTGCTCCAGTCACCACGGGCTCGCTTCCTTCACAGGGTTTGCCATCGCTGCAAAAAAAAAAAAGAGGATTCTTTGAAAAATCCAATGTGAAGTCAGTTTGAAGTGCTCATTTGCAGTTTGTGTTCCTGTTTAAAATGCTCCAGCCACCACGGGCTCGCTTCCTTCGCAGGGTTTGCCATCACTGAAAAAAAAAAAAAAAAAAGCGAATACTTTGAAAAATCCAATGTGAAGTCAGTTTGAAGTGCTGATTTGCAGTTTGTTTCCTTTGTTGAGATCCGGGGCACGGACAGGAGTGACAGCAGGGAGCTGCACATCGCTTATCGTTACGGGGAGCACTACGACAGCGTCAGGAGGCTCAACGACGACTCGGAGGCRCCGGCCTATCTGCGCATGGAGGTGGGTTGTGACACAAGGAGCTGCCTCTGGGTGACTGGCAGAGCTGGTGAATGCTGCCTGTGCATTTCCATTCTCATTCAACACGCAGGGAAGAGCTGGGTCCCTGTCATGCTGGGATAGCAAAGCCCTGAGGTCGTTGTAGCTCATCCTTCCGGCTCTCCTGGGAAGGGATTTCAGCCTCTGGGCTGGAAATCAGTCCAAAGCTGATGCTGTGATGTGGGCTGTCTGGAAGCAACCTCATCTAAATGACATAATCATTGCACTTYAAATGGAAAAACAAAGGGAAGGGAGGAAAGATCTGGAAATGCAACAGCTGGATGCAGTTGTCCTCTTCATACCTCCCTTTTTGATGTTGGGAAGTAACTGTGCTGTGCTTGAGGTTCTCTGCACACAGCTGAGGTGTGGTATTGTACAAAAAAATAATCCATTTAAAAGCTGGTTTATTTGCATTCATGATGTTGTAGTACACTGCAGCTTGTTCAGTAGTGCAGGAGATGTGGGAAACTCATTGATGGTGGAACTTAGAGTTTCCAGGATGCTTTTGACACAGGATGTTCATGCTGTGAAAAGTGTACAGTAATTATAATTATGTTAATTAGGATGTCAGATTTTTTTCTTTATTGCTGGGCTTTGCTTTTCTTCAGATGCTTTGCAAGAACGATTCAAATAAGGCAGAGGAAGTGAAGCCACAGAAGGATGACTCTGAAGATGAGACTGAAGTGGAGGTGGAAGATGCTGTACAAAAAGTGTGCAATGCAACTGGGTGCTCAGTAAGTACCGAGGAGCCTTTCTGTCCTTAATGTTCAAACCTCCTTAACACATGAAAGTAGTTCTGGGAAAAATTCTAAAAACCACTTGTCTTGGGCAATTTGAGTAGCACAGCAGTAAATCAGGGTGCATCTCATCCTACAATCAACCYTTAAATGCAGGTGAAATGTCTCCTTTCTGTGGATGCCTAATAATTTTGGAAGGTTTGTCTTGCAGCTCTCATAAAATTCACTTGGAAACAAATCCTGTAAGTTCTGATATCCTTTGGGGAGATTGAACATCCCAGATAATGGATAGTCKGTGGCTCTTGGCTCTTGGCACTGTGGAGGTGCCTAGAACAGAAAGGGCCAAGAGGGCTGAAACAGCCTATTCCTTTTTCCTGATATCATCAGGAATTTAAGGTTTTCCCTCCTCACCTTTTCAGAAATGAAGAACAGACTGATTAAATGATCATAAAAACAACAGCCCCCTCTAAGTGGTGCAAGTGTTGTTGAGTGAATGTAGGTCAGAGATTTGAACTTCTTCAGTGTTCTCCTTCCCCTCTTGTGGACAGGACATTGATTTAGTGAGCCACGTTCTGGAAGTGGAGGACTACGATGTGGAATCTGCAATATTTGCCATCTTGCAAGTGAAGGAAGAAGAAGGAATAAGTGAGTRCATAGAGTTTGTCACCTGGGGCTTTGGGTGAATGTGGCACTGGGGACAGCAGCAGGACAGGTGGGGGTTCTGTGCTGCCACCTCTGCCCTCTGTGCTCAGGAAGGTTGGTGAGGGCAGCTTCAATCCAGCTTCCAAAAAACCCGKGATTTCTGGGGGAAGGAACTGGCAGACAGTGCAGCAGCTCCTGGGTGGAACATGTCTGAGGCAAACCTCTGCTGTTGGCAGGTACCGAGGAGCAGCAGGAGCCCCTGGGCAGGGATCACAATTCCTGTAGTGGAACACTGTGGAAGGAGGATGGAACTGGTTCAAGAATCTTTGGAAATCAGAGCTTGCATCAAGGTGCAACAGAAAACGCCAAGGGACAGGCTGGATCCAGGGAGGAGAGCCGAGCCAGCAGGAACCCAAAGGTGTGTGAGGGCTTTGGCATCAGTGTGAGACCCTTCAGTGATTGGGGGACACCTTAGGATTGCTTACTCAGCAACTCTRTTCAGTTACAAAAAGCTGCTGCTCRCTGCATTTTGTCACTGCTGCAGCTGTGACTTCCCTGCCACAAACATTTYCTGGTGACATCTGGCACTCTTCCCAAAACGACTCGGAATCAAGTCCTGATCAATAATTAGGAATGTCCTCTGGCAGCTGCCTCGATATCTGCTTGTCTCCTTTATTGCTTTTCCCCAGCTGAGCAGAACAGGTGTGGTTTGAACTCAGTGTTTTCATCCTTCCCTTTCAGGTAGCCAAGAAACAAAGGAAGGAGCAGCAGCGGCTGGAGAAGAAGAAGCGKCAGGAGGAGAGGCACCGGCAGAAGGTCCTGGCCACCAAGAGGGACTGTGCAGACAGCAGGACAGAGACAGAGMCAGCCAACCATGTCACCCTGGTGAAAGCCATGGCAGCCCTAAACATATGACTCAGTGCTCTGCTGAGAAAAGCAAATAAAACATGAAGACAAAATTCCCCCAGGAGAATTTCCAGGCAACCATGGTTATCTTAAAACCCATCTCTGCCAGGATGCCCAAGCACAAGAGAACTTCCTCTTCCTTAGGTTGTGGGGAGGACAATTGCTCATTGATTCTGCATCAACCTGTGATGAGAAGAGTTGTTTGAACTTAACAGGAAATAGAGACTTGGGTCTGTTAATCTTGGAGTTAGATGAAGGTGAGAACACATAATGGTGTCAGATTTGTTTTGACATCTCTTGATGTGCCTGGTTTTTGTTTTGTTTGTTTGCTTGTTTTTGTTTTTGGTTTTTTTTGTTATGCTTGGAGTAGCTTTATTTTACCTTGCTGTCAGGGAAAGCTTACCAAATCTCAGCTCAGGAATATCTCTGGTGGGTCTTTTTCTATCTAAATTTATATAAAGAAAGGGAAGAGAGTCCCAGAATCCTTTCCAATGCAAAGTGTGTCAGCCAGCTCTGTCTCACACATGACATTCCTCTTTTCTTTGCCATGCAGAAATGCAGTGACAAATTCTAATCTCACTAGAACTGCTGATATTGCACTGGGCTGGTTCAGAAGTGATTAATACATRGAGGGAGATTGGGTTGCTGCATCCATGGGGTTTGGGATCAGCTGAGACCTGTGGAGTGAAAAATACCCACCCAAAACAATAATCCCATAAACTGATGAGACTGCAGAGCCAATTCTTCTGATTTGCTAAAATGTGACAGGAACAGGCAGGAGATTTCTGGTGAGTGTTGTTACTTAGATACCTGGAATCTCATCCCCTTTGCCATATTCCTGAGTTTTTGGGCTTCTCCAGGGCTTTAGTCCAAGCCAGGACCTTGATAGGTGTTAGTCTCCAAATGAAATCAGTAGAGCCAAAGAACCAAGAGTCCTGGGAACAAGCTTCCTAGCAGCAGATCCCTGGGAAACCTGCCTATTTCACTTCATAAATCAAGATTTTTTCCACTGGTTTTTTCATCTTAAATTCCATTTTAGTGAGGTCACCAAGTAGGATGTACATCTTGACTCCTGTGATGTTTTCCACTGTAGAACTGAGAATTTGGAGCGAGGTGAAAGGATTGTGGGACTCAGCCTTTGATTTATGGCTCGCAGTGTTTCAGTTCCACTCAGGTTTTTGGGCTTCAAGCACTAAGCTTGAAGAAAGCACATCTGCACTTACACAGGAGACACCTCATCAGCCAGGGCAGAGGTGAAAGGGATTTTTGAAAAGTAAGGAGTGTTACTCTTGAAAAATTTCTGTGCTTTGAAGTTTAAATCGACATGGAAATATAAATGGTTATTTTACTGAGCTGCCAAGAACTGAGCTGGTACTTTGTGTGCTCTGCTGCTGTTAATTGAAGAATAAAAAGAAGGGAGCTCTCCTGGAAGAACTGGTGGTGTAGAAATTCCTTTTTTCTCCAATATAGTAATTTTTATAGTAGAGGGAAGAGAAAGTGCAGGCTCCTTCAGGGGGTGATGAGTTGTGACAACAGCTTTGGCAAGGCAGTGCAGGTGAATGTGTCACCCATGTCCTGCCCTGTCCTGTATTTTGGTCTGGAAGTCAGGTGTGTTCTGCAGGTTTAAAAAGATAAGATTTTGCAGTTGTGAACTGTGAATAAGAGGTTTGATCTCAATGAATTGGGGTTTTGTGCTCTGGAGCCAGAGCTGATAAGAGATTCGTTGTTGCCTGGAGCCTGAGAGCTGTGAAAGGAGTGTCCTGGAAGCTGAGGAGGGAACTCAGACCTTACCCCATCGTGTGCAGGATGAAAGGGGGGGTCTGCAACCTCAGCACAAAGAGCAGAGGGAGACACTGGCCAGCAACTCATGGCCTCTGATAYCTGGAACCAAACCTGGGGCTGAAAATGCTTTAATTTCTGAGKGTAATATGATTAAAATAAAGTCTTAATGTGCTGGGCCCGTAAATATTGACAAACCACTCAAACTCCCTCTATCTTGCCAGGATAGCTTTGTGCCTGCACAGCCATTCTGTGACCAAAGATATTAAAACTGATTTTGTCTGCTTTAGAGCTTTTCCTGGTGAAATTTCCACCTTCCCCATGTGTATATTTTCTTCCTAGGGAATCTTTGTGCACCATTCTTCASAGAACTCAATTTACATGGTGAATTTGCTTTGTAAACAGGTCGTGGATTTTCCTGGGAGGAGGAAGGGAGGCGAGGAACAAGAGCAGAACAACACATGATTCATAGAGTGTGTTTACTCCTTGGTGGAGCTGCGTACTCCGTAATCTGCGGGCTGAGGATGGACAATGAGCCCTGGATATTCCCTTGGGATTGAGGAGGATGACTGTTATTAGCTGCTGGCTGACAAATTTGAGGGTGTTTTGGCTGGACCAGCAGCAGGGTCACTGTCAGCCTCTCAAGGGCAAAYGTGCAGCTGGAGGATGTAGAAAGCTGCTTTCTCTGCATCTTATCTCCCACCATCATCTTCCCTGGACTTGTTTYCCCAAATCCTGCCCCTGCAGATCAGGAGTTTGGTTGAACTGGAGGTTTTAAGCATTTAGGCAGGTTCTGGCTGACCTCCACAACTTCTGTGTATGGGAAGGGTTTTCTGCCCGTGCTGCTCTGTGTCTCCTGACCCTTGTTCCTTCTTGGGAGCTGCCTTCTGGTTTCTCTCACAGCTTTGCCGTGTCTCTCCATGCCTGCAGAGCTTTGGCAATTGCAGAAGGGGAGGGAAATTTTGCTTGAAGAATGAGCCATAATCCAGTGTTGGATGAAAGGAAAATGGTTTGTGCTGGTGTTGTACTGTGGGATGATTCCTCGGAACATCATGGGTGCARGCACCAGCTTTAGAGGGCAGCACTGGCTCTGTCTCAGCTCCCCCAGAACCCTTAACTGGCCATAGAAAATGAGAATAAATGTGTGGTTTGGAGTTGTAAAAATACCACATTTACTGTAGCAACATGAGGTAGGGGTGTTCCTTGTAATGAAATACTCAACAGAGTCAGGCAGGAGCCCTCAGCACTGAGGTGGAACTCAAAGAAATTACCCTTAAAAACCCTTTGTTTTCAGCAGAAAATGTCTCCAGAGGCTGCAATACAGCCGGAGGTGCCTCTGTCAAGGCCCATGGCTGTGGCACAGCCAGCCCTGCCCTGTTAGAACTAATTAGGGTTAATTTGGGATCATGTGCAGTCCTGGTGAGGGAAGAGGTGGCTGCATGGAGCTGCAGCCTGAGGGGACRTGTCTGTCTGCAAGAAAGAGCCACCCAAACCTCTGAGACCCCAGCAAGGAACTCCTCTCTGCCTTCAGTGGGTGTTAATTGTTTAAACTCTCATTAGGAGTGGGATGAAGGCTGAGCTCCTGGAGGGAAGCTGGGCTTGGAGCCTGCAGCACCTTGCTGTTTCTGTGGTCATTTTTTTTCTCTGGAGAGCTCTGAAGATTTACTGCTTGGCTGCTAAAATGTCACTTCTGGTCATTTTTAAAGAAAATACACRTGCAGGAAGGAATATTTTCTTTTAAAAATCAGCCCTCAACCTTTGTCCTGTTTCCTATCCCTTCCACCAATGATTCCCAAATAACAACACTGGCCACAGTTTACAAATTTCTTTTAAAAATACCTCTTTATTTGCACGGTTTCCCTCATTTTTATGAATTRTTTAACCACAGGGAGCAGGTTTTCCCTGTGCCAAGGCTGTGGGGAAAGGTGCTGGACACTTTTTCAGTGCCACAGCGCTGTGCCATGTCMAGGGAAGGCAGAACCCTTCCAGCTGCAGTGGTTTCTGTCAGGTTTGGAGCCCCAGCCTGGCAGGAGTGTTCAGCAGCGAGGAGTAGAGCCCTTGCATTTGGATTTGGGGTAATTGTCGTAGGATTTGCGGTAGGTCCCGATGACCCTCTTGAAACACTCGACTGCCGCCTTGTCGCACGCACAAATCCTCCTTTCACAGGAACTCCCGGCTCCTGGAAGAAAATTGGGGGGGGATGGAGGCAGGTGAAGGGTGTGAGGGTCAGGGGGTGTTTTCTGGACTGTCCCCACAGCATGTGCAACCCCTCTGTTGAGTTTGGGGTGTCTCAGGTGGTCTCACCTCGGGTGTGGAGCTACCTGGCCCTGGAGGGAGCGTTTAATTCTCTTTCTCTCTGATGTGTCAGTGAATATTTGCCTGGACCACAGGGATGTGCTTTGTTGTGGTCCRTGGAACAGTGAGTTAGCTCTGGGGRAATCRGGGTGGCTGTGCCAGATTCCCCTCCAGGCTGGGAGGGTCACCTCAAACCCTTGGTATTTGGCCTCAGGAAGGACCATGCCCCTGCTCAGAGAAATCCCCAAGCTCTAAACTTAACCATAACCCAGCAGATAGTTATTTCCCTTATTCCTGGCCCTTTTCCTGWATTTCCACCCCGCTTCACTGCATGTGGTTTCCACACCAGGACGGTCTAAAGGGGATCCTGGAAGTCAAGCTCCCCAAGAGTGTGAGTGGTGCTCGGAGCTCTGCCCCTGCCCAGCTCTTACCACAGRTTACTCGGTTTCCTTGGAAGGAGTATTTGTAGACGTCTGATTTGGGYCTGCAGCCGGCAGCAACCAATTTCTTGTAGCAGCAGTCGTGAGCGTGGCAGCACCTGGGGGCACGAGAGCAGGGTTCAGGGCGGGGGACAATTTCCACAACACAGAGGAACATCAACAACTGCAGCTTTCCTGTCAGCTGCTGCTGCTGAGCCCCTTCTGAAGAGGCTTTAAGGACAATTTTCTCATTGCTGCTTCCACTGCCAGGAGCAGGAACAAGATTCCCCGTGCTGTACCCAGGGAGGTGAGGAGGGCTGGGAGCACCTTCCTCAGGTGCCAGCTTACCTGTCAGTGGCATCCACGGGCTGCTTGGATCCCCCCCAGCCGCAGTAGCAGCCGTATCCATTGTAGGCCGTTGGCAATTTCTTGGTCACTTGTGAAATCATCACTGCAAACTGGGCCAAGTTGCCACCAGCGAGGGCCAGTCCTAGGACTGGAGAAGGGGTTTAGGAGCATTGGGAAAAGCAGCCTCCCATCTTTGCACAGCAGAAATGAGCATTTCACCCTCCCCTTCTGTCTGTGGACAGGATCTGGGAGCTTTCCCGGGGGTGGGAGATGGCAGGGGATACTCACAGAAGATGAGCAGCGAGAGGAGCTTCATTCTGGCAGCTCTGGAGTTTGGTGAGCCCAAGGTGCCACCAGTCACAGCTTTTATGGCCGTGTGGGGCCCCTCCTCCGGAGATCCCAGAGCGGGCAAATATTGACAATCCTCCCCATACCGGTCCCGCTGCTGCGCAGGTTTCCTGGCATTGCTGGAGGCTATGGGGTGCCATATCCTGGTGGAACTCCTTGGCAGGGGAGGTTTTGATGGACTGGGATTTGTGGGGCAGCCTGGGGTCRAGTCCATGCATGGCTCTGGGTATCTCAGCATTCCCTGTGCTTTCCTGAGCAAAATGAGAGAATTTGAGCGAGAACACTGAACCACGCAGTGCAAGGTGTCCCTRCYCAGGGCAGGGGGTGGRATGAGGTGAAGGTTTTTCCAACCCAACCCAGGCTGTGATTCCAAGATTCACTTTCTTCCTGGATGGGAGCTTTTTGACGTCTTGGCTAGAAAACACCATTCTGTGTCTGTTTCCATTCTGACTAACCTGGGCAGGGAGAAAATCCACCCAGGCCAAAGCATCCTCCACTTCCAACTTACCAGAGTGGGTGAGATGCAGCTTAGGGGGTGGGAGAAGAAGATCCCATGGTCTCCAGAATGGCTGTGACTGGAGATAGCCCCACTATGAAAACCACCATACATGGCCTCTGCTGAGCTCTTCCTCAGTGCCCCAGTGGCCCCTGCACGTGGGGATGCTCCATCCCTCTCCCTGTGTGTGCTGGTCACTGAGTTTGGCTCTCAAAAGCCTCGTGGCATGAGGTGTGTGATTCACCTGTACTAGAAGCAAAATGAGGCAAGTGGCAGGGAAGAAAAAATGCAAGTGGTGTACGATGGAAGGTGGGGGAAAAAGAGGCTGCTTGTGTCATTTGCTATGAGGGAATCTTTAATTAAATTGGTGCTGCTGGACAATTATTTAGCAGATTCCTCCTGGCAGAGATTGCAGGTGCTCTGGGCTGCTTTTTGGGGAATCCCAGCATGGGCAGGCACTGASCTAGGGGAGGAAATCCCTCCGGGGCTGGTAGGGAAACTGAGGCAGGGAAGAAGGATGCAATTTGTGTGGGAATCAGAGAGATGGTGAGAAAAGGGAACTCGGCTCAGCAAAACTTCTTCCTCCCTCTGGCATGGGGCCTCTGCCTTACCATCTCTCTGGGCTAATTTAAGTGGTCCCCTGGGATGGTGTTGAGTAAATTAGCTAAACCAGGACTTGCCRTAATTCAGGATTTTCCAAGTCCACAATCAGTTTTATCACAGGGAAATAAGGTATATTCTTGTGCATCAAACTGGCTGAGCTCCAGTGAAAGCCTCTCCACCCAACCTGTGGCGTTGTAGCATCCCTTCTCCTAATGGGAAATTAACCCCCCACCCCAAGCCAAATACCTCCTGGCAAGATGTGGATTTTGTTTCAAAGCATGAAAACCACAATTTTGCAGCCCAGTTTACTGCAGTRCTKGGAGGGGGTGCAGTATCTGAGCYAAAACATYCRCACTTGGAGCTCTGCATGARTGSATTTGTACAGCCGGATGTCGAAGCRGGAAAATTCATGGATGGTTAAAGTTCACCCAGAATTTACAAAGGAAGAGTGTGACCCAGTTTCTCCCAGCCTGCAGTCTGTCTGGGATATGCTCTCGGTGAGGATTTGTCCTTGATTTATGCCCTGCAAACAGCAGCTGTGGGGCAAAGGGCTCCATCCTCATCTYTTCCAGGATTCCACATGACTGGAGGAGGAGGAGGGTGGTAGGGCCTGATTCCTGGGTGCAGGAAACATCACAGATTTATGGGCTGTTTCCTGGTACCATTGATTTCAGCTCTGGGGCAGTGCAGGGTGGGAATTCCAGCTGGGGAAATGGTGTTTTGTTGCTGTTTCTGTGGCTTTATTTCATTGCTGAGCCCCCAGAGGGGGTTTGGAGCCCTGAGACCTGCTGGAGTCAACACACCAGCACACAAAACCTGGGGATGCTGAAAAGGGGGGGTGAAGCAGCCACTGCCTGAACCGCCTTTTCCTAAGGGATGTGCTCGGGGTTGTTGCAGAATTGGGCCAAAACATTCTTTTCTGGTGAGCACTCTTGTTTTGCTCAGCACTGGGTGTGAGGCAAGCTCCCGGCCACCCTCTGTCACAGCAGAGATTTGGGGGATCACAGAATATCCCCAGCTGGAAGGGACCCACAAGGATCATCCAAATCCAAGCCCAGCCCTCCCACGGCATCGTGCCTGTCCCCAGCCCTTCCACCAGCCTGCACTTYTCCATCTCTCAGAAAAACTGGGAATTTTCAGAGCCTGAAGGTTTAGAGCTAAGCTGGGGCAGTTCAGGGGTGAGTTGTGTCGCCTCTCAAGTGTCATTTTTTTCTGGGTAYTTCAACAGGAAACCCGAGAGGTGAGGGGTGGTCTCTGGGCTCAGCTGAGTCACGGCACGCCGGGAACCGCTGCTTTGGGCTCTCTGGGTTTATTTTGGAGCAACAGGAGGGGATTTGCGGTGAAGCAGGGAGCGGAGGGAGCGGACAGGCTGTCGAGGGGAGCCATCCCGCCCGTCCCCAGGCCGAGGGGCATGTGTCCTTCCATCCCTCCGCTGTTTTGCTGTGCTGGAACATCGCGTCAGCGCTGCTCCCCCTCCTCCGATCCCGTGACGCGACTTCACCGGAGGGTTGTTGTCCTGGCCTGGAAGCCAAAAAGCCGCGAGGAGCAGACTCGCCAGGGCTGGGAAGCGCTGCTGGCGCCGTCCCTTTCGCGGATCAGCCCGGAGGTGGTTTTGCAAAGGCGATTTTCGCTTCAGCAGCGGCCGGCTCGTCCCCGGCACTTGGCGCGGCGGCGAAGCTGCTGCATCCGGCACAGGCGCGCCGCTCGCTCGCACCTGCAGGCGCCTCGCTGGCACCRCGTCCCCGTCCCTGCGGGGACCCACAGAACCTSAGACCTYCCCCGAGCACCCGGRGCCRAGAAAAAGGGGATGGGTGGTGCGGRAAGCGGCGCCCCGGGCCGCGGGGACAGCACTCACTGCAGGCGGGGATCCCTGGCCGGGCYGCCGAGAGGGACTGAGCGGGTCCCACGGGGCAGCGCCGAGCTGCCAGCCGGGCATAGCAGCAGGCTCGGAGCAGGCAGCACCTGCGGGAGGAGGAGGAGAGCCTGGGCTCATCGGGAATGTGCCACTGGCTGCTTCTGACACGCCTGGTGCAGGCTCTGCATCCCCCGCCCTGGATCACCCACAAGCTGCTCTTCCCAGCCCGTTCCCTCTCCAAGCCTCCGCTCCCCCGCGCAATCCCTGCCCGGCATCCTGGCTCCAGGCCCGCCCCTCTCCGCTGGTGCCATCCCAAGGACCAGGCAGTTGTCACTGGCACCGCCCCACTGAGTCCGGGATGGAATCAGGGATAAACACTGCCTCACTTTCCCTGTTCCCAAAAACCTGATTCCTTCCTGCTGCTGCCAAGCACCTGCTCTGCATTTTGCAAAGCTTCAGGGGGGCTGTTGGGGTTATGCAGAGCCGTGGGGTTACCCCGGGGCCAGCGTTAGCCCTCTGGGGCCAGCGTTAGCCCTCTGGGGCCAGCGTTAGCCCACGGGGGCAGCATTGCCTGTACCGGTCCCTCGAGGTGCCCCGTCCCGAGTAGCATCCATGGGCAGTCAGGTTTCCTACGGTGCTTCCCTCGAGTCCCGGTGTGAACGCGCGCGGGTGCTTCCCGTGAGCTGTGAACACACCTAGAGTGACCAGAAAACGTGATTTTTTTTTCTAAGTTATATGCAGAAATGAGTCCTGGGTAGCTGGGGAGGGAAGAAGGCTTTGCTGGGAGTGTCCCCGAAGCGTGCACGGGAGTTTGGGGATGAGCCTGGCTCCCATCTGTGGGTTGGGGATGCACTTACTGCAGGCAAACAGCATCATCAGCGCCAGCAGGACCTTCATCTTCCTCTCACCGGGGCCTGGGAGGAGAAACAGAGGACAGGCTGAGCCGGACAGTGTGGCCAGTTTGACAGRAGCTCCCTCTGCAATCAGATCAAACCCCGAATCGTGGAGGGAGGAAGGCAACTGTGCCCCCCCGCCTCTGGGTTGCTGTCTCTTGGCCAAGAGCAGGAGGCTTCTGAAGGTGCCCCCACTCCTTCCCAAACCRCTTTGGCACCTCGGGCACCTCTCCAGCCGCGGTCCAGCCTCCCAGCTGTGTTTTCATGTGGAAGCGATTACACTTTTCCTGCAGGCACGGGCCGTTCCTGCCACCTCCTCCCAACAACCCCCCCGGTTTTTCTTTCCACAGCAGCGGGGTGAGGGGGGAGTTGCTCACCAGGGGATCTTCCTCACCGTCAGTCTGTCCTCCCGGGGAGAGCCTGCCCTCCGTGTCCAGCCCGCGAGCTCCAACTGGAAGCTCCAAAAWGCCTCGTCTGTCCCAAACCCACGGAACGCTACGCCCCTTCCCCCCCCGGCCAGGCCCCCTCTCCCCCTGGGCTGCAGCCTCCAGTGACGCAGGGGCCGAGTTCTTGGAAAGTTTTGGGCAGATGTTGATTATTTACCGGGATTTCTCTCCCTGCCCAGCAGCAGCAGCTCTCAGAGGACCGGGGACATTGAACAAGAACATTGTTTATTTTCTCATCGATTTAATTTACGGCAGATCCGGTGTGATCAGCGCAGGCAGGGATGAAGGGCGATCCCGGCGATGACCCGCGCATGTCCCGGCCCCGCATCCCAGCTCCCACCATCAGCACAAGAAGTTGGGATAGTAGCGGTAGCGTTTGCTGTAGCTGCCRGCGTTTCTCCTCAGGCACAGCGCCAGGCTGCGGTCGCACTCACAGGACAAGAAGGAGCAGCGGGRGCCCTTCCCTGCGGGACGAGGGGAGCTCAGGGTCAAGCCCGGCTTTGGGAGGGGTGACACCCCCTTTTCCAGGATCCYACTCACTGCAGGAGGGCCGGCCCTGGCGCCAGCTGTAGCGGTAGGGCTGTTTCTTGGCATCGCAGTGGTAGCTCAGGAGGTTTTTGTAGCAGATGTCGTGCAGCTGGCAGCACCTGCGCAGGAGGTGGAAGCTTTAGGGGATGGAGTTTTCTCTCCCTTACCCCACAGATTTGAAAATATTCAAGGATGTGTGCAGGCAGGGTTTTTTTAGGTGCGTTCTCACCTGTCTGTGGCATCCTTGGGCTGCCCCTTGCCCCCCAGGCCGCAGTAGCAGCCGTAGAAGCCGTAATGCAGAAGAGCATTTTTCCCTGTCACCTCTGAGATTATGTTGTGCAGTTCCAAGAGGCCCCCGTGGACTGGGGACAAGCCTGGAGGGGGGAATTGGGGGGATCACGCTGATTCCCTGCCCCTCCAGCAGCAGCTCCATCCCTGCMGCCCCCGAACTGGCTCCAGGGTGGTGATGTCTTAGAAATTATAATGCAGYGCAAAGGAAATTTATTCCCAGCTTGCTGCAGGAGAGTTGTGGCATGTCTGGGAGAGCTGGTGATGGGGAAAGGGGCAGAAATCACCTGCCTGGCCCTGATTTCAGTGGGTGTAACTGCACAGAGAGCCTCGGGACTGGGAGAGGACACTTACCCCAAGCAAACAGCACAGCAAGGCCAAGGAGAGAGTTCATCCTGCTGACAGCTCTGGGGGAGGAAACCAAACCATTCCCTGTTATATCAACCACTTCTTTCCCTCCTCATCCAGGAGCAGAGACATTCCCTCTCTCCAGGGACAAGGGGAGATGAGGGGGACAAGGATGCGCCCGTCGTTTCAGCACAAAACATCAGGGATGGGAATCAGATTGTGGAGGGGTGGGAAAAAATCAGGGGAGAGAAGAAAAAATTGGAGTGATGATCAGCCCTCGAGGGCTGCAGCCACTGCTCTTCTTCTGGGCTGGGGTCTCAGGCAGCATCTCCTTCAATGCTGCTTTCCCAGCATGGAACTCGCTCCCTGCTTGCATTGTGGTTAAAGGAGGAGAAGGAGGAGAAGGAGGAAAAGGAGGAAAAGCAGGAATAGGAGGAATAGGAGGAATAGGAGGAAAAGCAATCCTGCATCCCCACTTACCTTGGGAAAGCTCTGCTGGCTTGCAGTGCCCTGCAGCCAACTGGGCTTGCTTTATATGGCTGGTGGCCATCTGCCTGGGACTTCTCTGACCCAGACCTGACTGGGCTCTCCTGCGAAGCAGAAGTTGCCATCCTTCCCCATTCTGAGGAATCCCAGAAATCCCCCAAGCCCCAGCTCTGTACCCCACGCGTGGGTGGGTGCTGGGTGGGATGAGGTGGTAAAGCAGCATCACTTCAAGCCCAAGGAGGAAGCAAACACACTCTGCCTGGGTCACAGGTGCCCAAGAACCTTCTCTGCCCTTCCCTCAGAGCCACAGCAGGGGAAAAACGACAGCCATGGTTCAGGCTGGATGTRGATCCAGCAGGTTTGGGGCTTTCAAGGGGGTGTACAGTGGTTCAGGGGGGATTATCAGTTCTTTGGGAAAAGTCTATGGGCAGCACTGAAAGCATCTCTAAATATGCAGYTCCCAGAAACACGAGGCTGGGCAGACATTGGGTAATTATAATAACTCTCACCAAGAAAAAATAGAGAGGCAAAATGAATGTTCTGAGGTGATAAATTACGACTGCCCTTTATTTCGCTCCTTCTGTTTTTTTCCACCCCCTCATTCCACTCTTCTGCAAAAACCATTCAGTCCCTCTAAATTAGCATTTGACTAATTTAAGTGGTCGACGTTTTGAAATCTTCCTTCCTCTGTGGATGATTATTGTTTCACCTTCATTTCCAAGAGTCATGAAGCCCCAGACTGTTTCGGTTTGGGAGGGACATTAAGGAAGGATGGTGACTTGTCTGTATCTTTTGTCTTTTGTGCTGGAAAAACTGTTTTTTATTGCCATCCCCTGCCAAAATTTTCAGCCAAGCCCTGATTCTGGCTCCACTTTGTCTCTGGTGTCACGAGTGATGCTCCCTGGCTGGCATGTGCCTTGTGCTTATCTGAATTGCCCACAGCCCATTAATGCTCCTCGGGCTAATTACTGTCCCATTAATCATCTGGGATCAGTTTATGTACTCATGCTGTTTTCCCCCTTTTAGYGTGTTTGCAATAGAAAATGTGTTTCTATGAAATGCTTTGTATGGAATTGTTCATAGCAGGAAATCAATAGAAAAGAGCAGTTGTGTTGTTCCAAGTAAAACCCTCACGTGCCAGAGGCCAAACATCCCAGAAGATACTGGGGATACTCCTGTGAGCTTCTCCCTTTGCTGAGCTGTGGTTCAGGTTGTCCTGACTCTGGACAAGAGGAACATAAAAATAATGTACCACTTAAAAATCATTGTGATGTGAAGCCTCTTTCTGTATTCCTGTGTTCCTATTTCCTATTTTGTTGGTGTTCCTCACAAAGCTGTTTGGATGTGCCTTCTGAGCTAGGAATTAGAAATTCCCAGAATCGCAGAATCCCAGACTGGTTTGGGTTGGAAAGGATCTTAAAGCTCATCCAGTGCCATTGGCAGGGACACTTTCCACTGTGCCAGGGTGCTCCAAACCCCATCCAGCCTGGCCTTGGACACTGCCAGGGATCCAGGGGCAGCCACAGCTTTTCTGGGCAACCTCTTCCCTGGATTTATTGCCCCACATTGGGACAGAGCTATGAATTACAGCCCTGTCGGGACCATGGCAATATTGGGGTGTCAGGCAGATGCTGAGACTGAGGTGGGGGATGCAGAAGTGCTCCCCAAACGTGACCACCACCATTTGCAGTGCCTCAATCTCAGCAGCCCTCACAGAAAAACACCAGGGAGAGCCATTCCTTTTATTGTACCTCTTTATTGTCTTTGCTGGGAAATGAAATCAAGAGAGGATGAAGGGGCAAAGAAGAGGAAGCTGYTGTGTCTTTCCAGGAACTGCTGACTCTCCACTCATGGTGTGTGTGCCCTTCTCAGCCTGAGCAGCACCTCACAGGGAGCCTCGGGGGCTCTGCCTGTTCTCAGCCCCCAACCCAGGCTTTTCTTGCTGGGRAAAACCAGCCCAAATCCGGAACAGTGTGTGCAGATCCCCTCTTCAGCACTGGAGCTTGCTGCCTTGGCATTTGAGCTTGAAGTAGAAGCGGTAGGAATTGTTGTAGGAGCTCAGGGTGCTGGCGAAGCACGAGGCCACCTCCGTGTCACACAGACAGGTCTCTCTCTCGCACCAGCTCTGCTCGGTACCTGTCAGGGGGAAACACCGAGCCCTGCGCTGCCTTTCCCGGCCGGAGCCCCGCGGGGAAGCGGCAGGAGCAGCGTGTCCCGGTGCTGACCCTCCCCAGCCCCTCCACACCGTGTCAATGCCCTTGAATTATCGCAGCCGGCCGGGAATTGGGCTGGAGGCGGTACTCACTGCAGGTGATGAGCCCGCCGGTGGAGGTGAAGCGGTACGGGGTGAGCACGGGGCTGCAGCTGCCCTCCCTCAGCCTCCTGTAGCAGCAGTCGTGGGCTTGGCAGCACCTGYGGGGACAGCAGGTCAAACCGCAGCCCCAAAACCCTCCCTCGTCACAGCCGGAGGGATCAGGAAGGCT